AAATTTTATAGGCCTATATAGATCCTTTATATATACTTTCTATACTTATATAATATCATTAATAATTATTATTGTATTGTTTATTATATCGATTAATAATTACTATTGCTTAAATTACATAATGTCGAGTAGTTAGCCGTAAAATAATTAGTCACATGTGGAATTCCATAAGATGTTAGCGGTTAAACTGGATTCAGGTGATCGATAATCAGAGATGCAGCTATTTCGAACAATCACTAAACGTTAAACTTTATTATATTGATTTTAAGGTTTTATGAGGGATTTTTTCAAACAATATATATCATTATACTTTTAACATTAAACTTTATTACATTAATTTTATACTTTAATATATAACGTATCTGAATTTTTTTAAAAAATTTCTTATTAAATCTTTCTTTTTCAACACGATATCTTTATTATGACGCACAAATCAAAAAAAATCTTTTGTAAAAGCAAATAAGACCGCATTTGCATACTGAGAAGATTTTTTGAAATATCGTAAATATACTAAAATAGGAAGTATAAGTAATACAAGAAACATGTGCCATGCCATTGTAATATATGTAAAGGTCGTAAAGTTGATCCACGTACAAGAAAATTACATGCGAAAGAAAAGGAATTTGGATCAAAAGGATTTGTTGAATCTTTCAGAATAGCATCACCTTCTGGAATGATAGAAGATATTTTAGGCGATTATATGAATACAGACGTAGATATTGTAAATGATGATCTTGTCAGCCAAGAATTTAATTTTCTTGTTATGGGCCCAAAATCATCTGATGATCCTGCCAGTGACCAAGAATTTAATTTTTTTATTACGAGCTCAAAATCATCTAAAGGAAAGCAAAAACAATTAGGTAGTCATATTAATTTCCTAATGGCCGTAATCGAACAGCTTCTTGATGATGATCATAATGTTAACGAATCTGATATTGACGAATATGATATTGACGAGGATAGTAAAGAAGAAGAATATAGTGATGATGATGAAAATAACGTCGAACCAGTCAATTTTGATGTGCTAGAATCCGGTTATGAAGATAAAGATGCAAAAATACCATTTACGAATATCAATCAGGAATTCGCATAGATCGTGTATTGGATTTTTAAATATCAAGAGAGATATCAGCTATCTGATACTGCTACTAATTCTCTTATAAAGTTTATGAGATATCTATTGCTCTTGGTTGATAGAAATATCTATTCAGAATTTCCAAAATTTTTACATATGACACAGAAATTATTTGGTATCAGCGATCACATGATCAAATACGCAACTTGTAAAAAATGCTGTAAAATATACGCGGTAAAAGATTTGACAACTGATAAACTATACTATTGTATATTCAAGGACTTCCCGAATCATTCGATGACTAAGTTGAGATTCCCATGTAATAATATTATTACAAAGCAAGTTCTTACACAAAAAACAATAATATACTGGCCTTTACTCATTTTTCCTATTGCTAATATAAAAAATCAGTTACATCAATTGTACAAATCGAAAGAATTTGAAAAATCCTGTAGAATGTGGACAACTAGACCTGATATTTGCCAGGAGTTATCAGATATATACGATGAAAGAATTTGGAAAACTTTTAAAGATTAAAATAATAATCAATTATTTTTCCAGCATGAAGTAGCGGATAGTCATCTAGGAATTATGTTGAACCTTAATTGATTCCAACCGTATGACAATTCCCAATACAGTGTAGGAGTGAAGTAATATGTAATCTACCATAAAGCCAAAGGTTTAAACCAAGTAATATTATTACTTTAGTAATAATTCCCGACCTAAATGAACCGAAATTGTATCAATTAAACCATTATTTGGCTCCTGTGATTGATTAATTCATTAAGTTATGAGAAGGAATAGAACTTTGCACATATGAAAATCCTACTAGAAAATTTATACGAGCAGCGATTATATATTGTGCATATGATATACTAGCTACCAGAAAGCTTTGCGGGCATATATCGGCTTGTGTTGTATGCCATCGGTGTAAAAAGGTAGCCAATTTTGATATTAGAAATCAACCAAACTTTGGTGGCTTTGACGATATAGATCAATAATTTGTGCCAAGAGATATTGAAGAAATAAAAACAATGCCTTTTTATAGAAGGATTGCAATACTGAAGACGCACGAAAAAAACATGTTTCTCAAACTTTAGTACATTAGTCAGAAGTATATCAGCTCCTGTATTTTGACCCAGTGCAATTCCTTGTAATCGATTCTATGCACTGTTTGTTTCTGGGTATTGCCAAATGGATCATAACTCGTTTGTGGATTGAAGAGGGTCAATTAACATTAAAAAATCTAGAAACAATGCAAGAACGGGCCAACAAGTTAAAATTATCATCAGATATTGAAAGAATACTGAATAAAATAGCAATGGATAAAGCTTTTCAGGGTTTATCGCAAACTAATGGAGAACTTTCATCCTTGTATATGCTACTATGATTACTTGGGATTTTCTTCAAAAAGATGACAGGGAAATATTG